TTCAGTATTTAATTTTTAATTTACTCTGTTTTGTTTCTTTCAGAAACAACGCGAAAAAACGCGAGAAGAATTCAGAGCGTCATTTAATGCACTYGGGCGCAAAGCTGCCAACATGGGTACGTTATKTTTATATCAGATATATCGGTAACMATACTTGCGGGGYTCCTGCGGTTTTGGCGGGAAATTGTTTTGCACGCGCGCGCGTGTATTATTCCATAAAATTTGGAGGGAAAGCGTTGTGTGTCCGATATAACAAACAATGTAAAGTCTAACGCTACAACTGTCTATCGCTTTAACGATGTATTTTCTCTCTTTTTTAGACGACCCAAGCAAGAAAGAATTGCTTAGAATTACTATGGCTTTACGTGAAGCCAACAAAATCAGTCAACACCTCAAAAAGAATATCGTAAGTTTATATAACTTTTGATTCAAACGTACAGTTTAATCTCCCGTAACGGACTTCCTTGTGAAATGCAAAAAAGTGTCAGTCCGTTAGAGCCGTCTGTTTATGAAAATATTGTGAATAAAGTGTTTGAATAAAAGAAAAAAACGTGGTTTTGGGGAGCTGTAAAAATTATGTCTCTTTATTGTAGACATTCAGCAGAGATGAAGTCACAGTTGATGGAAAGGTATTTATTTATTTGTTTATTTATTTATTATTTACAGTAAATTGTAATTCGTACATCATAGGTCTCGCTCTTTTCTCACTTTTAGTCACAAATTATTCGAATACTTTGGAATTGTGCTTAAGTTTTGCAAGCGTGATCTGTAGTTTCAAAGATATGAATATGTGGACCGCATGGCACTATGGGACACTAGTTTTGACAAACAAAAGACACATATCAAACAATTGCTTGACATTCGCGCGGGCTACCTGTGGGATTCATTATTTTCAAGGATGGGAGGGGACAAAATTATAATGGCCGACATGTTGAAAAGTGATTTCTGTGAAAATTCTGTAAGTTTTAGCCATTTTAAAGAACTAAAAGGTGGAAAAAACTTTTTGAAAAAAAAAACTTTCTAACGTACTTACTTATAAGGTAAGATTACCATATATGGTCAGCAAAAGTTTGGCAAACGAATGAATTTTTCTCTGAGGCAATTGTTTGATATGTAACTTTGAAGTATCAGCTGCCTTATGTAATGATATATCTATATAAGTTAGTAGACTCCTTTGGAGCCTATCCTTTGTCGGAGCTCCTGTACCCCCTTGAGGAAGTTAGGCTGCCAAGGAGACTAAAAGTTAGAGGTCAAAAATTCTCCAATTGACTTTTTTTATCTATTTCGCATTTGAAGACTGTAACCAAAGTTCGACTGAATGACACCAAGAAAGGTTTAACAACGCTTTGGACCCTGGAGAAGTTTGAATCAAGACTGGACTTAATGAGGGACATGT